TGTATTGTTTTGTATTTTTTTTAGTTTGTTTTGTTTCTGATTCGGAGTGTTTTGTTTTATTTTTTGTTGCATATATTGTTTTTTTATGGTTTTGTTTGTTTTGTTTTGTTTTGTTTTGTTTTATTCAACTTAAGCAATCGTCTAGAAGAAAACTAGAAACCACCCAGCAACATCCTAGTGACTATCCAGAAAACCGTTGCAAGCACCTAGCAATGAGCTTACAACTACTGAGAACAAAGCTCATATTTTCTTCAGAAAATGTAAAACATTTTTTTTACTTTTTAATATCAGGTCAGTTGTCTCAAAACCCCATTTCAGTCAAACTAAAGTATAAACTTTCTGTCTTTTGAATGGATTGATCATCACTCTTCTGGGCTTCAGCCACAGTTCTGAAGTGATTAATGCCTAAGACGTTACCTTATAGACGATGAATGTGATGTTGGCTCAAGTCTTCTCAAACTGATTTCTGGGGTAGAAAATTCAGAGAATGTTTTACCCTGGCCATGACTGGGTTTGAGCAAATGTTAGTCTTGATTTTTTGCTTTAAATGGGCTATAGTTAAGATAAAAATCAGACCTTCATAGATGAGGCCTTTTTCAACGTTCCTGGGTGTGTATTTTCATAAATGACTTAACGGTCTCAAATTATGGCATTGTTGCTATAGTATATGGCACACATACACTCTTAAATGCTGTGTTGTGGCCTACTAGAGGATAAAAGAGTTTTAATAGTGCATAATTGCAGTATGACTAAAGCAATCAGAGGACAAAAATGTGGTACATGTTTTTGTGGAAAGAGAAAATTTATGCATGCACGCAAACTGGCATAAATTTGTCATAGATGACGGCTTGTTGCAAAATAAAAACACCCAGCTATGTCGTCCAATACAGCTGTTTTCTCCATCTCCTATTTTTCATCAGCAAGGCTTATAAGATGAAATGCATTAGTTGCCTCAGATGATACTCTATTAAATATCAGTTTATAAATAACAAAGAACAGATCTGTCAGCTGATGTAAACAGAGTTTGACACAACTAGTAAACCAACGTAAAGGTCAGATTAGTCCTGTTGTGTGTGTGTGAGACATGAAAAAGCTGCATTAAAGGGCAAACATTTATGTTGATCTCATGATTGGAAAGAATACTTTATGAAGGATTCCTAAAATGCCTTGCATTTCTGAAGGTTAACCAAAAACCACAACAAACAACCCAGACGTGGACGAATCAACATGTATAGATTAAACCAAGCATGACCTCCTTTATTTGCAAAGGGTGTTGCCTTGTGTTACCTGGCTCAAGTTCACACGTGGCTTAAAGCATATTTTGGACAGGGTGGATTCAGGTTAGAACTGATAAACAGTTCTCAGTTATCCTTGCAAAGTTATCCTTACAAAGTTCTCCTTACAAAGGGCCTGAGCCAAGTTAACACCCTATTGTTTGCGATTGTGGCCTAATTGAAGTAAATGCATTATTACCCAAGCTGACTTCATGACATTGGCAAATGTCTGGCTGAATCCTCCCAAACAGTAATTTACCAAAAATGTAAATGGTTGAATCTCTTGCTGAGAACATGTCTTGGTCATAAGCTCAAAGAAATTTTGGTCATTGTGACATTATTTCCATTATTAAGCAATTTTTTTACCCCTAAATTATCATTACTGTAATGTGTAAAAAAAAAAAAAAAAAAATCATTACCATAATGTGAAAAGTGAATATATACATACACACACACACACACACACACACACATATATTATTACATGAGGAGAAACAAATCTGTTGGATAATTTTCTGATTACTTTACTGTATTACTGTATTTATTATCATACATCATCCCTTACTTATTGTTGTTTAATGCAGATGTTTATTATTCATCTGGACCACATGGTTCAGCTTTATGGTTTATTATTGAGTTTCAATTGCCAGGCTATTGCATTGGATGAACAGATTATTAGGCAGAGTTAGGAAGAATTTCACAGACAGCAACTTTCCTCTCGACACGACACAAGCGCTTGACATTTTGCCTTATGCCAATATACCCTCAGAATCAAGTTTCATAAGAGCTCTCGCCAGACTGACCGGCACACAATCAAATACTCTGACCCACGCTTTATCAAGCAGGTTTATTTTCTCACAGGGTGTTAGTTTGCTTCGAAATCACATAACTAACCCTTTGCCAATTCTGGTTACTGTTTTTGGCAAAAACAAACTTTACAGAACGCCCTATAGGAATGCAATGGAGATTTTCACCGTTTTAAGTAAAATTTGTTTATAAATTATGACATTTAAAAGCATTTTTATCTTTAGGATTTCTTAATTGTTCAATTAGCATCCAAAAGCTGCATTCTGCTATTTATTGCTTCCTTCATTAAGGAAAAAATTCCATCTTCCATTCCAATTCCATATTGAATTTTTATTTTTATTTTACTGCAAACCCCCCCTCCCCCTAGTCATGGAAGCTGAGAGACACCCAAAACTCCCAGCTCTCTCCATAAAGATGCTTTCAGACGTGGCTTTACTGGAGCACCTCAAACACCCCAGAACATCTGGAGTGTTCCTAGTGCGATCCAGCTGAGATATTCAGACCCTGTTCTGTGTTAATATTGAGATTTTGTCATCATTCTGAAACTCTCAGAATGATGAAAATGATCCAAAAGGTCTAAGGGACTATAGGGATGTCTAAATCATGTAGATGACAAACCAGGACCTCATAAATTGTTTCTGTTGATAGATTCCCAGGCTATACATTACATTGTTCTTTTACCATGAAACACTCCAAAACACAAACACATCTGATTTTTCAGATATAACTCCTATCGAAATAGCACCAATAGCACCTAGCAAAATCTTTTCTCAAAACTAAATTATTTGCAGAGGTCTCTGTACTGGATGACTTCTCCAGAGGCCATCTCAAACTCAGAGACATTGCTAAAATCCACACCTGCAAAAGACTAGTCTAAGATCAAGATGGCTTGATAATTGCAAAACTAATCTGGCTTGAAAACACATATTTGGACACAGCACAAGGACTTTCAGCTGTTTAGGACGTCCCTATTAGTATCAAACAGAGCGTGTTACGTGGCATTCTTCAGAAAGACACAAAACCGTTCCAGAATGTTTTGAGTCTGAGCAGAGTTTTTCCATGGCACAATCCACTCTGACACTACTTATGTCGCCATTACCAAAGCTTCCCGCTGTTTCTTTTCAGCACATAAGACATAGACGGATGACTACACTAGGGAATGTGCTGGATAGACAATGAGAAAGAATGGAATGACAAATTAGGCAAAAAACAGGAATTGAAAGAAATGAGAACGCTGGAAAGCATGTAAAAACAGTTTGAAATGTCAAGAACAAGAAACAAATGTCCACCACCGACAAAACCAGACAATGAAAAATACTGTGGAACAAATCAAGAACTAGACTCTCACATTTGAGTCAGAGACATGATGCTCAATATTTCCTCCAAACCTATTAAGTTTTTTTTTTTTTTTTACATTAAATGCAATTCACACCAAAAAAAAATTAATACACAGTTTCATTGATGAAAATGTTTCCAGTTTCTGAATTAAAAGTAACTTTGTTACATTGTTAATTAGTCAAATGTTTACATGGTGTAAAAGAAAAAGTGAAATCCTTGGAAAAAGAACTGAGGGTATTTTTTCTTTAAAAAAAATAAGCATAAAAGTAAATCCGTTTCATTTTTAAATTGTCAGGTCAAATGGGGTAACTTTTGAACCTTTTAACTTTTTGGGGGGGTGTTAAAGTTGTAAACACTTGTGTCTATTTATGAGGTATTTAACTACTTTCCGCATAATGGTTACACCACTTGACTTCTACTAAAGCTTTTTTTTGTGGGAAATGGTGTAAATGTTTGTTTTTTTAAAACTGTTGGTTACGCCAACAAAAGTGTCTGATCCACTCAGATCAGAAAATCACCTTTTCTACCACCTTTTCATGTTTGCAGTTTTCCTGGCAAGCCGAGCAACTGGTATCCTACACCATGACCGTCTAGATGCCCTATGCACTGACACACCACCCATTTCCTCACTCAACTATATTAAATGTTTGCTACAGCAGATAAGAAAGGAAAGATCACCCTTGACATCTGATATGAGACCAGCTCAGCCATTTCCATTAGAACGATCAAAGTCATGGAAACATAACTCTCGATTTTACACTCAGAGATAATGTTGCAAGCACATAACATAAGCTTTATGTAATACTGCGGATATACAACAACATAAAAACTGTATTAAATGGTTCTGTGATGTTTAGCACATCAACTCAACAAACAGGTTATCATTACAGCACATTAAACCATCTGCAGTATAGGGACCACATCACGTTTGGACTGTGCACGTCTTGTGTGACGCACAAGCAAAAAATTATATATTTTAATAAAAATAATATTTTTAATAATGTGTACCCAAAAAGTATTCACTTCTTTCCTGATCACACTTGACTTTAGTTTAATCATACTAAAGGGTTTGACAGTCGCAAATTATGTTACTTTACCACATAGGAACTAATCCAAAAATACAGTCTTTCAGAAAATGCTCACATTGTTCGACAAGGTTCAAAGGTGGAGCTTTTCTCTGCCATTCAATGAACAAAATATCAGGTGCCAATCGATCAATAAACAACATACCTTATATAATATAGTAAAAGCTTTTTTCATTTCAGCTAGTCCTTTGTAAAAAGTATCTTAGCGATGTTGAACACATAATATTGTTAAAGCAGAACATTCAAAGCTCATGACAGCGGCACTAGGATGTAATGAGGAACAAATGGAGCCCTGAATCTGGTTTAAAGCACTCGGGTGAGAATGCTTTTATCAAGGGAAGTGACCTCACTTAAAAAGGACATGATGTCATTACATAAGAATGTAATATGCCACCCTGCCTTGCCTTCATAACATCAGGAAGCATTCTTGTAATTAACGTTACCCCATCTAAAAGGAAATGCCTTGATTAGAGATAATGACATTGACCGTTCTTACCTTGAAATGACAGGAGGACTCGTGGCTGTGGTGGAGAAAGACCATGGATGCAGGTGATACAAAGGACGAGGGGAAGGAACAACTGCACGCTCGTCCCCAAAGACCAAACCCGGAGCGCTCCCGACCTCCCCATGACTGCTGAGGAGACACCCGGACCAGCCCACCTGCAAAGACAAGGTGAAGGAACTGTAAAGGACAAAAGAGTCTTGCTAATGGAAAACTAGATTTCAAAGACTTCAAAATTAATTCATGTTCTTTTATTTTATAAAGTACAATAGGAGTAAGAAATAAATGCACTTTGAAAATAGAGGTGGATTACTAGAATCATATTCTTAATAAAGAAAGATTCTTAATATGTTTAGATATTTTTCTTTTCTAAAGTAAGTATTAATATCTAAACATTCCTGAAGCAAGATACATTTTGATAAGCAGCACTAAGTAAAATGAATCTAGATAAAACGTAAAATGCACAAACTTAACACATATTGTCAAGTTGATACTACCTACTGTATATGTGCAAATCACAAGAATTACATTAGTAAGTTATTATAATTCACCTTGACAAAAAGTCCCAGCTGTAGAAGGACAATTTGGATAACCTTATATAACTCAAATGATGCACATTTTTGTATGAAACAATCAACATGACCATTTTAACATAAAAACAAGCTTTGCATTTCTGCTTTTAAACAGCAAAGTTTTGCTCTATAGACTTCCATTGTAAATGTATCACTGTCCATGCAGTTTTACAAAATATAGGACAATTCTTAATAATCTGTGGTAATTGACACCTTTCTGCAGATTTTGATAATGCTCAACTTGTATTTGAACCCACAACATTCCTTTAAAAGTTCAACATTTGTGACGTTATCCACGTTCCTGGTGAGGAAATGTCTTTGATATAGTGTTAAATCAACAGTGTTTCAAAAGCAGCCAGTTAAAATACATATTTTAACGGTTATATCATACGCTTTTTCCTTAAAGGCATAGTGTATGTCTTCTAGTTAATTAGTCTGAGAAAGTGCCATGACATTGATCCACTTAGTTATGATTTTAGCCAATGCCATATAAACAATGGCTCCTGTCCAACCTGAGTCATTATTTTACCTTTACACAAGGACGTCTTGTACAATGTAATAAGAATGAAATTAGTAGTGGTGCCTCAAAGAAATGGAAGCTTTTTTTTTTTTTTTTACTTCTAGTTCTAACAAAAGAATGAATGGACACTCCCCTGTGTTTCTCTCCTCTCTATTCTATTATGGGACAACAGAAGTTCAATAATACATGGAGAGAAGTTTTGATTTCCTGTGGAAGAACTCTTGCTTCATGCTCCAGGGAGAACAGACAGCTTTCTCTGTCCAGGACACTCTTGGAAAATAAGAATGCATGCAGTTCATAATTATATATTAATAATATGTTTGTTTTGTTGCAGAGAGAGTGCAGAAAGACAAAGAACAGAGTAAGAATAGCAAAGTCTCTCTGCTCATGTCTTATACATGAATCATGTGAAAGATTGATAGGACATCTACAGAGCATGTCTGACTCAGTGAGGTATGAGCACACTGCACAGGGTGTGTTCACAGTCAACAGAAGTGCATGAATACCTGAAAACACCATGCAGGGTGATGTTTAAATGATTTTTTATGGAGTCATCCGCTTTATGGATGATCTTTGTTGTACTATATCTCATTGGGTTTTTCAGCATCTCACGTTTTATGGAGGCCGTGTCTGGTTAAAGTTCAAGTGTTATAGTCAGCTTTTAAGTCAATAATTTTAAGAGAATTTTGAATTTCCCATTTTTAGGGATTTTTTTTATATTAATAATACTATTAAAATATATTGAATTTCTCTATTGAATTTCTCTTATTTAATAGGAGCCTTCTTTTTCAGAAAAAAAGTAGTCTAATGAACAGTGATAAACTCTTCCTGGCCTTAAATATACTTTTGTTTGAGGGTGAACCAAAGTAGCCAGCAGACGGGCATTATGCAAATCTGTTGCATGGTGATATAGCCATGTCTCATATATAATGGCATAATATATAATAATGACAATACTACGAGGCAGGCGTTTTCTGTTGGAGAGATTCACTCTATTTGGCATGGACTTTGTGCTTTGTAACTTTGAAGATTGTTTACATGCACAAACAGCTAAATTACACATTAAAGGAAAGGTAAAATCAAAAAAGCATAATAGGTCCGCCTTCAACCTGTGTGACTTTAGTTATTTGCTGGTAACTCTATCGCCCCCTTACTGACATTTGCTACTGCCACACTACTGAAAGAATATTACCTACACGAAAAAAGGGCCTTTAAAACGGCCAGGCCCAAAATGGGTAAACACTAAGCTTTTAACTGTCTTAGCCACAAACTATTGGTCAGAAACTTTTTAGAAACACTACTAAGTAATTTCTGTCTCAAACAAAGTTTTTTGGCAGAATATGGGAAGTTGTGTGAGGAGTGATGAATCACGGTGAAACACGAGTTGTGTGGTGATCTAGAGCGGTGTCTTCGAAAATCCGCTGAGAAATATAAAAATAAATGCATCTCTAACACAGTTAGAAGCATGGAGGAACAGAGGTGTCATTGTGCGGGGAGTCTATTTATCTGCTGGTATGTGTGAGCTACTTCACTGTGAAAAGTCAATTAATGCATTGGAGTACAGGAGAATATTGCAGAATGCTTCCCACATTTGAAAAGTTGTTATCTATTCTAAAGAGGAATGATCAGATGTTATTTTCCAACAAGACAATGCTCCTGCCCAAATTGCAAAGACAACCAAGTAGTGAGAGCAAGTCCATCAGGCTCATGGTTTGGCCTAGGTCAGAATCCAGATTTGAACCCTATAGTGAGTAGTTGGACTCACATTAAACTCAAACGAACTGGGAGACTTTTTTCAACTACTCATCAACTGTTTGAACTGAGTGGAACGACACTGACTCGTTCTATTCTTCCTGTAAAAAGCTGCCTGCAAGTTGGGGAAGGCTATTCCGTGCTAAGTTACGTTATAGTATTTGTGCAATTCTTGCTAATTTCCTGACCAGTGATTTGTGATTAAAATGGTTAAGACCATTAAAAGACTACTAAATATTTTGCCATTTTTGGCTTGGCCCCTTTTCCTTCTTTTTTTTTTTTGCCCATTTACAACAGGACCGCATGAGTTTGTATGCTTGTGCAGAGCATGTTTGTAAGTGAGAGCGTTTGCCTGAGTGTTTGTGATGGGGATGTTGTTTTGTATGAGTTAGTGCATATTTACAAGTGTGCGTATGTGTATACATGTGCGTATGTTTGCTTGAGCATATGATAAACTGCAGAAGGCTGAAATGTCTTTGGCAGTGAGTATTGGAGAGAAGCTCTTAAACTGGGTGGAGGCTACTGCTCTCTGGACAGTAATGGCTTTCTACTGCTGGTCAGGGCCTGCCAGACATACATACAGCTGCTAAAGTCATCACTGGACCATCATAGATCCGTCACTGGCCTGCCACTGAACATGAGCTGATGTTCAAGCTTCTATGATCACAACCCTTAAATGAGACATAATCCCTCATTATGTATGTGCCTAATGAACAGGTCCCGTCAAGGCCTTGATATGAACTGCAGCAAAGATTTATACGGCTTTTCAGTAAATTTCATCAATGCTGAATGCTTCTTTAATGTCTCACTATGTATCACTCCGCAGTCTCTCTCTCTCTTTTCATAACAAGTTAGAATAGCTACTTGCCACCATCTGATGACTTAACCATTAACTACCAACTGTAGTAAAAATGGCCCTGGAGCGAAAAAGGACTAACTTTAATGGTGAGCATAAAACATTTGATAGATGTCTAGAATTTGAGTCTCCAGTTACAGCAAGAGGATGAAAGCATCACTTGGAAAAACAAATCGGTATCACAAAAAGCTGGATGAGTAAGACATCAAATTGTTTCTAAATATTGAATTGAGAACTAGATCATTGAGAAATTAACTTAATTGCATATTAATAATAATACAGTATAAAAATATAATCTAATTTAATAAGAAAGTTAATCACTTCATTTCTTGTTGGTTGTCGCTTGTTATGTTGCAGCTGGTTGGGTCAAAAAGGACATTTTGGCTTCACTGTATCATAGGACAGTGTGTGAGTATCAAACTTTAAGGTAGTGCCTCTCTCATTTCTGGAGAAAATGTGAAGTCTATGACATCTGGCAGACTAATTGTTTCAAACCGTTTCACTGACACTTCCAGATTCCTAATGAGTTCTGTCATGAGGTGATTTCTGACTGGCTTTTAACCACAACACTAAAGCTGGATCGCAGTGTCATCTGAGAAACTCAAACGTCTGTCAAAGCTGTCATAATGCGCATTCATGCCGCTTCAGCTGAGAGCACAGCAGCCTGGAAACGTATTACGAGCGGTTTATCTTCAAGCTTATCGTCTTCTGTTTGTCATGGCTATCTGCGTAATGAGTTTTTCATCTTTCTCCTTATGAAAGTGTCAGTCAAAACCAATTATTGCTCACTAGAAATATGACAGCCGACTTCAACTAAGAACTGGCTCATCTAATATAGGTTAAACAGCTGGAAGGAAATTAAGTGTCTTTTGTGATGTTTTAAAACAAGGATATGTAAACAGCATTATACAGTATGAATGTTATGTTTCTAGATTTTAGTGGTACTTGCCTGTAAATGCTAAGATGCTAAGGTGGTGTTGGTGGTTGATGTAAGGTGCTATGTGGTTTCTAGGTGTTTCACTAGCGTTTGTTATATTTAGGTCTCTATACTGTATACACTGTAAAAAGTGATTACTTAATTTTAAGAAAATGGGTTTCCTCACTTTTTTTAAATTAGTCAACTAATCACTTTGTACAGTGTATATGGCTTGGGTCCCTCTTTTAAATTAATTAAATGAGAATTTGTTCACCCATCAGGTGAAACTTATCCACACTCTTAAGGTGTGTTCACATTTACCTCGTTCACATTTTCACAGAAATCCAGTCATTTCAAAAGAATCTACGCAATCTGAAAATTCATGTGAGGGCGAATAATTTCCCATCGCAGATGTCGCAATGTGATTAAGTTGGTCGCGCAGATTCGCTGTGTTGACCAACAGAAAGCTGATTGGTTTGAAAGTGACTTCTATGTGAGCTTCTATCACTACACTATTGACAATAGATAAACTTTGTTTGCCCAAAATGTGATTTTGCGTTTCGCTACTACATGATCAGGGGTTAAAGTGGGCCGGAACGTTCCGGCACCTCAGATAAATCAATAAATAAATAGATTCATTAATATCAATGATAGCGCAATGGTAGGCTATTGTTAAAAAAAAATGTCGCGTGCACCATCAAATTGCAGCCATCCTGGTGCTGCTTCTAAAAGATATTTCTTGGATATTTCTTATCCATTTTTTTGGCCTTCAAAAGTCTTAAATTGCACATATGTAGGTCTTTAACATAGTATCGTCATCATATCAGTGTAGATGTAGATGGACCAAAATAAAACCATTGAAATATAAAGTATAAGTATTGTGATACGTGGTGCCACAGTGACACTCCTGTCCCAAAAAGTATTGCTATACCACGATACTCAATATGTTGTCCTACGGTGAGTCATTTTCCCCTGTTGCACCTACGCAAAGTTTGAGGGTTCCCCTACCTGCCAAATCCCACTTTAACCACTGCACATGAGGTACATATCACAAACAGTACTGGACAATAATGTGCCAAAGTTGAATACCTTAAGGTTAGAGGTTCAAATCTTTCATGAAATAGAAAACATCAAACCAAATATTATGTTTTACACAAGTGTTTCCCTAATTTGATGCAGAGAAAATGTATTCTGGAAGCCTATTGTGTAAAATGTGTGTGTTGCCCATCACCGTACCACACCCTGTCATTCACCAGCTCGCACACGCAATTCCAACCATGCACACACTACCACAATGTGACAACAATACAAATCCCCATTCAATATTGCATTTTGTATTGGACCAAATCTCAGATACTATCTTTAGGGCATACTTATAAAATAATAACATCACTGTCTTAGTCTCAAACTCCCTAGACTCATTCACACTCACTGCTGTCCTGTCTGTGAGACACACAGCACACATTCCCCCGACGTCTCTACCAATATAAAAAAAGCTCAACACGCACAAAATAATATATCAACTGAGTAATGAAAGAGTGTTCTTCAAGATACTTAATAGTCAAGAAAATTACTAAACATGACATTAGATTTTGTTCAAAAATACATGTATCAAATATGGTTGAATGCAAAAATTTCACCTTTTGAAACAGGGAAAACACTTAAATATAGCAATTTTCTTACAATCAAGCAAAATTATGATTTTTTTTTTTTTAAAGCCAATGGGGGAAAAACATACTAGCAAAGTCCATTTCAGTTAATATCATTAACATATTAATGAATCTTAAAACTAGACAGAAATTATGCTATTTAAACTTTTTGGCACACCATCAGGTAAAATAATTGCTCATAATGTTTCTTGAATAAAACAAAAAAAGGAGGATTCATATTAACAAAGATTGGATATAATAATTAAGACGTGTATATTTCTAAAATAAGCATTTTTTTTTAATATAGATGCTTGTCTCAGTGACTGAAGCATGTATAAGGTCTTGATATCTTGTCTCTGGTGGGCGTCTGCACCTGTTAGCCTGAGCCTGGCGTCCCCCCCAAATCTCCCCCAAACGGGACTCACCTTCTGAGGCTTCCCAGCCGGACTGTCCTCACTGAGCAGAGAGTGGGTGAATGCTATAGTCACAGACGTAGTGAAGAAACACAGCGTTGCGTGGACTTCCCCAGCGAGAGTGAAGAGAGGTGTTATTCCAACCGGCTGACTGTGGGACAGGGAAGAGAGAGGTTGAGAAGATTGAGAGAGGTAAAGAGAGTGAGAGAGAAGGGTGGACTGGTTTCCTATTACACTCCTCTCCTCTCGAGCCCCCCCTCCTCTTTTCTTTTCCCTCCTCTCTCTCTCTCTCCCTCTCTCTCTCTCTCTCTCCTCTCTCTCTCTCTCTCTCTCTCTCTCTCTCTCTCTCTCTCTCTCTCTCTCTCTCTCTCTCTCTCTCTCTCTCTCTCTCTCTACGAGTAACTGAACAGATATTCCAGACCTCTGAGTTTCACTTTGCCTGTGCAGTGAGCACTAGTGTCCAGAGTCAGATTCTGCTTATTGAAGCCCATTTAGATCTAGCACTAAATCTATCTCTTTAGATCTACCATGACTGGATGCAGAAGTTACTTAATTTACATTACCATAAAATGACAACAAGGGACAGAAATATTTTCCTTAATTCACAGACTACTCTAAATCCAGCTGCCATTTTTACCAATTAAAATATCAAAGTTAATGTAAATATATATTAAATGCACATGCACTACTGTAATTTCAAAAGTTTGGGGTCGGCTAGATTTTTTAAATGTTTTTTGTTTTTTTTCAAAGAAGTTTTGCTCACCAAGGCTACATTTATTTGATCGAAATTACAGTAAAAACAGTGATATTGTGATATATTAAAATAGAATACGGTTAATTTGAATTTGTAATAATATTTTAAATTGTTATTTTTTTATTTATATTTAAAATGTATATTTAAAAATGTATTCTTGTGATGGCATATATATATATATATATACACTACCGTTCAAAATTTTGGGGTCAGTGAGAATTTTATTTTTATTTTTTGGAGGAAAGAAATCAATACTTTTATTTATCAAGGACAGTAAAGACATTTATAATGTTACAAAATATTCTATTTCAAACAAATGCTGTTCTTTTGAACTTCCTATTCATCAAAGAATCCTAAAAACAAAACAAAAAAACTGTACAACTGACAGACCAACAACTGTTTCAACATTGATAATAATAATAAATGTTTCTTGAGCATCAAATCCTCATATTATACTGATTTGTGAAGGATCATTTGACACTGAAGACACTGACACTGGTGATGCTGAAAATTCAGCTTTGATCACAGGAATAAATTACACTTTACTATATATTCACACAGAAAACAGATTTACACTGGAATAATATTTAATAATATAACTGATTTTTGTTGTATTTTTAATCAAATAAGCGCAGCCATGGTTAGCAGAAGATAATTCTTTTAAAAGTATTTAAAATCGTACCGACCCCAAACTTTTGAACGGTAGTGTATATATATATATATATGTGTGATGTGTGTGTGTGTGTGTGTGTGTGTGTGTGTGTAGGACCACCAGATCATGGTCATGGCCATCACAATCTCCAGACCTGAACCCCATTGAAAACCTCTGGAATGTGATCAAGAGGAAGATGGAAGGCCACAAGCCATCAAACAAAGAATTGTTGTGCCAGGAGTGGCATAAAGTCACTAAAGTACCAAAAATACCAAATACTTTCATGACTTTAAAGGCCCTTATTTTTTTAATACAGCTTTCCTGAATGCTCCTCTGCGTAGGAAAGTGTTTTCCCCTAACAAAATAAAATAATCTATAGATAATTTAAAGTCAGCTGGTTATTATCATAAAATGAACCCCAACAGGGTTTTCGGGAAGCCTATTATTTTGCTGTCCTAACTGGACACACAATTATATGGTTAGTAGCTTTTTATTATTTGCATTTAGAATTTCGCATCCCCGCTGTCTATGGCTATCAGAACAGACCTGTGGAGAGTTGGGGCCCACTAGTTGATAACCACCGGATTAAACTATCATCCTGACGTTAATAAAAAGCCCAATAAATCAACAGAGAAATGTCTCCATACACACTTCCACAGCCCAGATTAAATGTTATTTCTATCCAAGATTCCAGTTGCAAAGGGAGTGCAGGGAGCTGGACGCTCTGGAGCCAATTTCCAAACCACACTGTGCAGACTTCAGCAAGGAAAGTCAGAATTGCCCTCACCACCGCAATTCCACTGCCAAGTTATTAATTACAGATGGTGAAAGCTGGATCTGTATCACGTGAATGATAGCCAAATGTTCAATGGAATTGCGAAGAGCCCATATACAGTACTCCAAATTAAATGCGCAGTACAGTGGCCCAAAAAAGTTTGACACCTAAGCCACTTAAAAATGTTTCTTATTGTTTTGCTTACTTGCTTTAAAATAAATGCCACTTGGTTTAAAATGTTGTCTAATGCAATAACTTTCATGATTTTTAACCGTGAAATTATTCTTAATACCTTTAATAGATAATAGTAGACATGGAGCATGTGCAGTCAAAACAAGCAAGAAGATGCTACGTTTGTCTAACGATAAAGCACACATGCGGTGCAAATGGACGATCGATTAGAAAAAGAAAAGTGCCATATCTTGTAATCCTTTTACCAAAAAAATCTTCAGTTGTCTCTTGGGGAGCATAAGGAACATCTGTTGATCAATTTTTTCTAAAAAGATAACAAGTTAGTGTACTAGAACTATTTGTGATTTATACACTTCCCCTACTAAATAATGAATAAAAGAATGAAATTAAATGCTATTTAAATACTAATTTAAAAAATCATTTTCTTAAAAAGTATTTATATATTAGAAATAATCATATTTACTTGAATATGTGAAAATGTGATTTGATTTAGTGGAGAACAAAAAATGTAACACTTCTAAAAATAAAAAAAAGTTGAAAAACTATTGTTTTCCCTAAAGAATACGAATACAATTTTTTTTATATTATTTGTTTGTTTATGTTATTATATATATAATATCCCAAGAGAACAAAGAAAATAAAAAATTTAATTACATTTCTTTCTGAAAGTAAATATGTATTTTAAAAATAAAAATATTGTTTTTGTTTGTTTTGTTTTATCTCTTTTTTCGTTTTTGTTTTCTTTGCATATTATATATGTACAATAGCCTTATTTATTTATTTTTTTGTTTAGTAGGGGAACAGATTATAAATAAATTGATTTAAATTGCAGTAGGCAAACCTCTATTGTAAAATATCTGCATTGTTTAGCAGTTGTGTGGTCACTGATGTGAGAAAGGGCTTCCTGTGGTTGTGTGTTGTAATTACACGTTATTATATTGCTGTGTTGTAATTACAGTCTGAAGTTAGATACTCTCAACAGGTCTCAGGTTGCTGCCGCTTTATAGCTTCAGTTTAAATAAGCAGTCTGTCTGGCTTGCAGTGCCTCGACAATAAGACTAGCCGAAACCAATTGTGTGTATTTGAGTGTGTGTGTGTGGGGACAGCGGGAAATAATTAGCTCTTCTCTGACTCTTGAAGTGATTTACAGCTTTCCGGTGAAATGCTCAGAAAGAAAGTTAATTTGGCTGTAAACACACACACACACACATCGCATTACAAACTGTCATGATTCTGCCCTCGTGTCCTTGATTTTCTAGTCTTGAGGCAGGATCATGACAGAATCATGTTTTGTGTGCAAGCACATGGTCTTGTGTTTTGAGCCATGTGCTTGTGTTGTCTCGTTACGTTACCCCGCCCCCTTGTTATCCTCGTCTCGTCATTAGTGTCTAGTCAGTTTCACCTGTCCTTGTCTAGTCAGCTTCACCTGTCTTTGTCATTAGTGTCTCCCTATTTTATCCCCTTGTGTTTCACTGTCTCTTGTCGGTTCATTGCCATATGTTACTTGTGAGTACCCTGTGAAAGTCTTGTCATTGAAAGTCATTTTGAAAGTCTAGTCTTTGTTAGTTTCTCTCGATGTGTTGTTTGTTTTCTAGAATTTTGTCAGTGTCGTTGTCTAGTTAGTCACCATAGTTCTGTCTTGTTTTGCCCCCTCGTGGGCTTTATTTTCCCCTGTTTTTCTGTCATAATAAACGTTGTGTAATTGTCTACCGTCTGCGTTTGGGTTCTTCTGCTATCATCATAACAGAATGAACCGACCAACAAAGAACCCAGCAGACAGTATGACCTCCCAACTCCAGTTCCAAACAGAGTTCCGTGAGCGATGCTGGTTGTCCGCACCAACCAACGGAGAACGGGTCATTTGCCCTATCCCGTCCCAGGGTGAGCAGATCATGAGGGATTATGCCCGCCTCTGGGATCTTTTTTCCCGGGAGGTTCCGCAGGCTTCTTCCTCGGGCTCTCCACCTTCTGCCTGCCTGCCAGCTATTCCCGAGGGTCGAATGATAGGCGTCGTGACACTTGGGGATCAGGCTGGCGCCCTCACGACTCCTGGCACTTCATCTACCCCCTTCCGTCTTCGAAGGAAAAGAGGGAGGCGAACCTCGTGGGACTCTCCTTCAGAGTCCTCAGCGTCGGAGTCTATCCTGCCAGAGATAACCCCTTCTTCGCCCGACACAGTTACCGCCGTGCTTCCCCAACCCGTCTCCGCTCCGGTGATGGTCGCTGCTTCTCGACCTAGGAGAAAGAGGAGGAAGAGGGGAGCCTCCCGTTCTTCGCCTGCTGCAGTCCCAGAGCCCGCTGCAGTCCCAGAGCCCGCTGCAGTCCCAGAGCCCGCTGCAGTCCCAGAGCCCACGGCAGACAGCGGTTCTGATTTGAGCGCTTCATCTGAGTCTGTTTTCATGTGTGCCGAGTCTGATTCTGTGAGTTCGGTTCCCGCTCCACAGCCGTCTGCTACGTCCCCTGTTATGTGTTCTGTTCCTTTTCCCGCTGTTTCCCCAGTCAGAAGTCTTGTCTCGCCACCCTCAGCTTCCCCTGTCGTGATTCCCTCTCCGTCGTCCACTGTTCCTCCTGTCCCTAATCAACCCCGGACTGTTTCCTCCAAGACTCCTCATGTGTCCCGACCCAAACCTGCCCGGAATCCTCGTCCCAAGCCCCCATCCCGTGGACCTAAGACCCCCAGCACACCCATCCACCCTGGACCACCCCCCATGAACTCTGTGTTTCCTCCGCCACCTCTTCCTTGTTTGTTATTTTTATTGTTTCATCCGAACCCTGCTGTTGTGTTTTCGTGTTTGCCACTACTGTTATTTGTCATGTTTTGTTGGTTTGTGTCTGTTTCCCAG